TTTAGCAGGGGGGGTATTATTTTAGCAGGGGGGGTATATAATGATAATGGAGGCAGGGGGAGGATGACTGAGTGAGTGAATGTGACATTCTATGGATGCTGATCTTACCGGGAGTCCGAGCTATGTAGCCACCACCTCTTTACACTAAGCCGGGAGCGGGCCTGATCCTGCCAGACACCCGGTGACAGCCGCTCTGCGCATGTGCGACTCAGCACTTACTGCGCATGTGCAGGAAATAACGCCGAGCGCGATGCTATGACGATGGCAGCAGTGTGAGGCTCCGGCGGCCATCTTGGTTTGGGGCAGAGCTGTGTTTGGCCAGTGAGATAGAGCCAGGATTTGGGATATAAAGCCCAGGATTTCCTATAATTATCTTTGTAAATGTGTTGGAAATAAGAGATGTAAATGTAGTGAGAGCTATCAATGCTAACACAGGGGGGCTATTCTGGGGTCACCATGGAAACCAATACACTCTCTCTCAACATTGAGGATTTTATACATTGCCCCCATGAATAAATCTCCCGCTATATTATACTATACAATATACTATAGTATTATAGTTAGAGGTATTTAACCCAATTCCCATAATTCCTTAAATTTACATACCGGACAATTTTATCCTGCCCACATTTTGGGACAGAGACGGGCACCCTATTGAACAGGCTACCAACCCATGAATCTAGCGAGCGGACCCATGAAAGGCTCTGGTCTGCCTGTGAAAGGTTTGACTATAACCACTGATGATACCGGAGAAACTGACGGAAGCAAAGCACAGAGGGATGGACACAGGTTTCTTCAGGAAGGAAGAGATTCTTTATTGGATCACCGATCGGGACTCAGAGGGACTAATGTCACCAAAAATACAGCAAGTTCTGAGCCCTGAACAATAGTGCAGGCTCCCTATATAGGCACATAACCCCTCCCATATTAAACTCCACCCGCACATTCTCTTGACCAATCATTACAAATAAGAATTAACTTCCTGCTTGACCGCATGGCTTGTCCAGCACAATGGAGGAGGGGAATACTACATTCTGTATTCTTGCACATGCTCCGTACACTACTGATCGTATCTTGCCTCGTGCAACCAACTGATCGATACGTCAGCATATGCACGTACACATGCCACGTGGTAATCTCGGCCTACTAAATTTATTTTACCGAGATTCCACCACATTCCCCCCTTTGATGCCTCTTGATATTTTACAATTACTTGAGGCATCACTTAACCTTGGTTTGCATAATACTCATTAGGTTACTTGAACTGAAATTGAGACTTATCTTTAATGTGAATTCAACAGCCTGCTTTCTGCAGGTATTGGCTCCTGATCTAGAGCCTTATATTTATAAATTGCCATTATCTGTGCAGCAGCCTTCCTCTCTGCTATATTTTCTATCAGGCTTTGCACAGACCTAACTACTAAGGGTATAAGACATGGCAGGAGTAGACACAACATTAAAATCAGTAGGACTCCACCTACCACTGCCTTAAGCCCTCCAAACCACTCATACCAGCTACCAAACCAACTACTTGGATTGTACCCTTTCCATACCTGAGTAGGCACATGCGCTAGTTTAACCATATGGCTAGTAAGCTCAGCTATTGCTTGCCTTTCATCATCTATTTGAAGACAGCAATTGCTCAGGTTAAACTTCCCACATACACCTCCCTCTACTGCCAAAAGATAATCCAAGGCTAATCTATTTTGGTAAACTGCTGTCCTCATCCTGGTATTATGCTTCGCTAGAAGATTGAGCGCTTGTGATGTCTCGTTAGTAATGATCCCAACCACCGCCTGTAACCTTATAATGCGGTTGAGCATATAAATAGGGGTTCTATAACCAAAGGTACCATCCTCTGCCCACGTGGCTGGCCCATAATAATCTATAATACGCTGGGGAGGCCATTCATTATCTTCCCAGGCACCTATCTCTATGGGTCCCCTTTCTTCCTATGATTCACATCATACACTTTAACACCTAAAGTCTCACCTGTTTCAATAGGCAACAAGAAGAAGGATGGTTTTAACATACCCAACACACATGCCCCTTCCCAGTCCTGGGGTAACTCCGAATAGGCCTTCTTACCACAGATCCAGTACAAATTCGCTGGGGCTCTCCAGTTAGATGTGATGGATAGATCAAACCATACGTCCTTTAAATTGGCATATCTTGCAAACGGGTTAGATGGTTCTGAGACATTTGAAGCCGATCACCAAGTTGTATTCTTTGTATCATCATCATAAGCTTTTTGCCCTAGACAAGTTAATTCTCCTACAGAAGTATTATACATCATTCCTTTCCTCGCTATGCAAACATAACCTATGATGGAGGTCTTCAATCTCCACTCAGATTTACCTCTAACACTCATATGATAGTCGGCTTGTGTAGATATTAATTGGTCAACTGCCTCAGAACCGGACATTACCTCCTTTGCTTCCTAAGGCCATTGGTCTCCCATGTTAGTACCTCCACACACATAGCAGTTGGTAACATTAAGACTACCGGCAATACTCTCGGCTAAATCAATGAACAAGTTTTTTAGCATTATGGGGGATCTTATTATCTATGCTCATCTCTTCATAAAAGGAATGGTATACTTGATGAGTTTGGGAGGTTACCGTATCAGTCTCTATCCCTATAAACAATATTGTCCCAGGGTCTAAACCCGTCCCATATATTTGAAACCCAAATAAATTACTATATTTATCTAAGAACTTGTCAGGGTTATTTATAAGTATATGGATTGGATTGCATTCCATAGACTTACAATATGGATCAGTAGGCAACTTAGTCACAATCATGTCCTTGTCTGCTGTCTGTCCCCAAGTCGCCCACCCTACACAAGACCAATATGGGCAGAAGTTATAATCTCTATTTGGGCATCTTGGACTTACATATTTATTTTTACTACTGGGACAAATATATTTATCGTTAGACCCATACGTCCTCTCCCATCTAAGATCCCCACATACATTCCACGGTTTTCTACCACTTGATATTGCTTTACACGCATCAAATAGCAGAGCACCTGAAGAATATATGGATTTTAATACCGTCTTATTAATTAGGGTTCCCTGAGAATCTCCATTTCTGAGAGTCAACCAAATTGTACGGGGTTGATACTCAGGACTGAAGCACTTAGGTTCTCCTACTCCTAAATGACACACACTATATCCTATATTTAAGTATCTACATCTTGATACATCTCCTTTACACTCATATTGCGAATGCCAAATTAGGGTCTGGGATATATGGTTACCTGTTCTTGTAGTCTTAATGCATACCTCACAGCTAGGAGTGTTGGTACCTCTACCTTCCTGAATATAAAAATATACATAAATAAACATTATTAAAAATACATCTTTCGTCGTCATCCTCAGTCTTCGTCCGTGTGAAGGCACCTCAGCTTCCAGGATGTAAGGACTGCAGGGAATGGAGTTCTGCTCGTCTTCACAGGGGTCCCCTCAAGACTTTCCCTGACTTATACACTCGTTGGTGAGTGGACAGGCTTTACTATGGCCTTCTCACTCACTTACCAAGTCTCTGAAACAATAAAATTTGTAATCTACAAGGTTCCTCGTCACTCCGACTGAGTCGTGCGTTTTAACCGGATCTTGCAGGGATTCTCTGGATTTGCTGTAACTTGCCAGGAATCGGTTGCTGCTGGTTTAACCCTGGAGTGATGTATCCACGGAGCCACTTCGGCTACTTTTATCGCTGTAGGGGTAGACAGAAGAACAACATAAGGACCTCTCCACTTGGGCCCTAACGGCACATTATTCCACTCTTTAATCCACACTTGGTCGCCTGGGTGGTAACTATGAATTGGGGGATAAACATTCACAGGTAATCTATCTTGTACCCATTTCTGTACCTCCTCCATAGTCTTACCTAACTCTACAACCTGCTGCCGGGTAATTCCTTCTCCCAACTGACTCAAATCCCCCCTTAAGTTACCAAGCACGGGAGGTGGTCGCCCATACATGATTTCAAAAGGAGAGAGGCCCATCCTTCTGGTAGGTGTACTACGGATTCGCAATAGAGCTATGGGCAAGAGAACGTTCCACTTAAGTTGGGTTTCCTGACACATTTTAGCCAACTGGTTCTTAATAGTTCTATTCATTCTCTCTACCTTACCAGAACTCTGGGGTCTATATGCCGTATGAAGCCTCCACTTTATACCAAGCATATGAGTCAATTGTTGTAGGCACTGATGAACAAAGCTGGACCATTGTCCGATCCTATAGAGCAGGGTAGTCCATATCGGGGTATTATTTCTCGTAGCAGGAATCTCACGACTTCTCCTGCTTTCTCTGTACGAGTAGGACATGCCTCTACCCAGCCTGAATAGGTGCACACCACTACCAGCAGGTAGCGATGTCC